GTACTCCACCACCTCCTCTTATCCCTACTTCTCTCATGACCTTTGTTTAGCCCTCCAGTACCTATTCTCATATCTTCCTGTATTGCCCTCCATGACATCTTGTCATCACCTCCTACACAGCCCTCCACGACTTCCTCTATCTTATCCTGGTTAACTCTCCACTGTATCCTCTTACAGCTCCTGTGAATTCTACTGAACCACCTTCTCTCAAATCCTCCACTACCCGTTCTTATGACCTTCAGGGTAGTTCTCTACACTTCCTTACATACTTTGTGCATTTCTCCACCTACTCCTCTTATCTTTTCTACCATCTCCTTCTAGATATTTTGTGTCACATTCTACTACCTCCTCTCATGTACCCTGTATAGCCTTTTACCTTCTCCTTTTGTCTCCTCCTGTGTTATTCTGTGTATCCCTCTACCACCTCTCCTTTATGGCTTCATGTGTAGCCCCTTATCACCTTCTCTCATGCCAAACCTGTTCATCATGTGGAAGCTCAGCTGGCCTCAACCTGGCTGATAGTTTCTGAGACTCTCACCTGTTCCATAAGTTAGGACTCCTAATATTTTCTAATAACTTGTGCATGCAATTAGCTTTTTCAATATGTCATTTGAATTTTGTAATGAGATTCTTCAGCAATCTTTTATTTTCTTAATTTGTGTACTGAGTATGTTCTAAAGGCCAAGACACTTACTTTGTGGGGTGATTATTAGCACTTTACCCAGATAATGTAAAGTCTACTTTTACAACTCTACATTTTTCTTAAAATATTAAAAAAAAATTCACCTACTTCCTGTATTGCTGGGATACTGGCCAGCTCAATGTCCACCTGCTTTTGGTTTTTGTGGACTCACTGTGTTAGTCAACTTTGCATTGCTGTGACAAAAATACCTTACAAGATCAACTTGGAGGAGGAAAATTTACTTGGGCTCATGCTTTCAGAGGTTCAGTTCTTGATCAGATGATTCCATAGCTCTGGGCCTGAGGTGAGGCAGAACATCATGGTGGAGGAATGTGGCAAAAGAAAACTTTTCAATTCATGAGAACTTTGAAGCAGAGAAAGCAAAGTGCCAGGGACAAAATATAAACCTTGTGTGGTCACATCCCCAGTGGCCTACTGCCTCCAGCCACACCTTACCTGCCTTTAGATATCACTGTTAATTCATTAAATCAAGTAAATTATTAATTAATTAATTATTATTAGTTAATTAATTATTGATTAATTTATTAATTATTAATTAATTCATTAAATTAAGTAAATTATCCACACATTAAGTTACGGTTCTCATGGTCTATTTGGCTTCTGAATATTCTGGCATTGTCTCCCCCACATGAGTTTTTGAGGAATACCAAATATCAAAACCAAAACATTCTATCCCTGGCCCCCTAAATTCTCATGCCTATCTCACAATGCAAACTACAATTAGTCCATTTACAAACAGTCTTAACATTTCCAGCATTGTCCAAAATCTCATCTGAAACTCAAGGTAAATTCTTAGCTATGAGTCTCTGTAAAGGTCAAAAGCAAGTTGCAAATAACCAATGTATAATTACATAGAGTAAATATTTCCATTCTAAAAAGGAGATATAGAGGTATAGAAAAAAGGGATGGGATCAAAACAAGGTCAAAATCCAGCTGGGCAAGCAAGACCTGTAGCTCCACATCCAACATCTGGGGCACATAACATTGTGATGTTCTCTCCAAAGAGCTTGTGTAGCTCCACCCCATGGCCTTGCTGGTTGCAGACCATGTGAGCACTCCCTTGGCTTGTCTCTTCTCAATTCCTGCAGCTTACTTTGACAGATGTTCCACCTTACCGGCGTCTCAGTCGTGGGGATCTCCACTGCAGCTTCAGCTTCTTTCTCACATCTTCATTCATTGCTCTCTCAGGGGGCGGTTTTCAGGGATTCCAACTCTGCTACATTTTCTTGGCCTCCCAGGCCTTCCTTTGCAATGTCGGTGGAACTTCCCTGACCCATATCTCCAGCAACCTCCATTTCTGAAGAATCAATACCTCATAATTGATGCCAATGTCTGCTGCCATCTTGAGCAGTAGCCAAGCCTCAGGGCCCATAGATATAGTGGTGTATATAGCTCTGAGGACCTGGGTGGCTGAGAACTGTGAAATAACCTTCGAGCCCCCTTCTGTGCAAGGAGGGTGCCCCCATGATCTCTTCTTAAAGAAATGTTTTTATTTGTTCTTTTTTGGATACACATGAAAGTAGAGTGTATTTTGACATATTATTCATATAAGGAGTATAGCTTATTCTGGAATCCCATTCTTGTGATTATGCAAAGTTTCACTGGTCATATATTCATTTGTACATGAACATAAGAAATTTAGGGGCTGGGGATGTGGCTCAAGCGGTAGCGCGCTCGCCTGGCATGCGTGCGGCCCGGGTTCGATCCTCAGCACCACATACCAACAAAGATGTTGTGTCCGCGGAGAACTAGAAAATAAATAATAAAAATTCACAAAAAAAAAAAAAAAAAAAAAAAAAAGAAATTTATGTGTGATTCTTTCTACTCTTTCCTATTTTGATCCCTCCTCCTTTCCCACAGAATTTTAAGGAGACTCTCACTCCCAAGCTTGACAAGTGCATTCATATTCATACCGCCCCCCTAGGTGGGCCCCACTTAATGGTGGCTCCTCCAGTTTCAGAGATGAACTGTGGGGAGTAGAGAATGGACTGAGGGTGTCCAATAGTGGCATAGTCTGAATCCACTCGTAGATTCAGAGACACATTCAGATTCTGAATGTCAACACAATGTTCTCCAAACCCTGCCAGGATCTTACCCAAGTCTGGCATGAGATGGATTTCAGCATCTAGACAGTACTGGTGAAATACCTTTTGGGCACATTTCCTGAGCATTAGCCTGTGTGTCACAAAAAAGCAGGTAGATAAAACTTGGGTGCCCCTTCTGGGTGAGCTGAGAAATGTGTGGACTTTTCAATTTGTCAGTTGAACCAAGGCCACCGCCCCTTGGTCTGTCTTTAGATAGAAAACTGTGCCATGAGGTACTTTCATTCCTGACTACCTAACTGCAACTTTGACAAGAGAATTAAAAATGGAGTCAGAGCATGGTTGTGCCTTAGAGGAATTTGGATGAGATGTAGGAAATTTGAACCTCAAGTCCAAGTCCATACCTTAGGGATAAGAATCTTCAATCATAATTTCTTCCAGAAATTATAGATTCATTCTTCTGTTTTGGAGAGTTATGTAAAGATCAGAGCAGAGCAATTTTGAGTCTTTTCCCCAGTGAGGCCTAAAAAGACAAAATATCACCAGCTGCCCTTTTTAGCTTCAGGGTTGTATTTAGTGACATGGGTCTTCACTGAACTTTTGCGTATTGCATGGCCCAAGGGACATGCAGAGGCTGGTCCAGGACACTTTTTCCTTCCCAGAGAAACTTAGTGGCATAGAGAATGTTATCACCTAAGGCCATGAAATGAAAGCCTGTAGGTGCAGGAGATAAGAGGGGACACATTTCCATTCCTTTTACTTCCAGCAGCTAAGAACACAGGGGCCATTTCCTGATTCAAAATTGAATGGAGCCCCAGGGTGCATCAAGCCCATTCTGAGTTGCTTATCTTCACTGGTGATCACTTCCCACCTGCCATTCTCCTGGACCTTTAAAATAACAAAGCAGCAGCCAACAATGCCCTGTGCTACCACCCTCCCACAGAGATGATTTTGCATGTGAGTATAGATCTTAAGAGTCTTTTCTGGCCAGTGGAGTATCATGTGCCTCTCACCTTTGGTGGCAGCATAATGTGCAGCCACTTAGCTCTGTGTGCACAAGGAAGGTGGACCTGATACTCCTGGGATTAGAGTGAATTCTTGAAGTCCCATAGAAGAAAGGAAAGACATCAGCTCTTTCAGTGAGCACAGGGCACTCAGTAAACATGCATTATGTTAGTGAGTCCAGCTGCCAAGAGTGGTGCACCTATTCCCTTTTATTCCTGAAAGCTGAATTATCTATCCTTCCCTCTGCTTGGAAGCCTTAATTATTGAGTCAATATTGCCTTCTGAGATGCTCCTGTGTTCTTTTACTGAGTCTTTTTTCCTTTTAGTTGGAAGAATAGGAGGGAACTGTCTTAAACTATGCACAGAACAAATGGAAGTGGCTTGCTGCCAGCCTGAAAGAAGCAATACAGCCTTTCCCTAGAGACATGAAGAAAAGTCTTCTCACATGGTTATAACCATGCTCTTTGACAAACACTTGGCCAGTCATTCCATCCTTACTTCTTAATATATTTTGTTCATCAGTGAATTTTATAACCCAAATATTTTCACATATGTGAAAGCCCAGAAATGCCAGATCCTTGTTATTTAATGAGATCCATAGATCTCTGCCTGCTGTCACACCAACTTTTCCCACAAAACTCTAGAATCCCAGCAGTGCCCCTGCTGTGGGGCTATAGAAATGAGACTTCCCATGACTCCAACTTGCAAGTGATATTCCATGACACTTGCTGATTTCTTAGAAACCAGATGCTGATGGGCGTCCATGTAGAGGAGAAGGAGTTATAGTCTTTGGGTACCAGGATGCTGTGGTGTTTGGGATCCCTTCTAGTTTACCCACAATATACAATCTCACAGGAAGCCATTGGCAGGTGTACACAAAGGGAGGCTATCTCTGAAATCCCTCACTACACCCTCGCAGTGCTGTACTGTGGGAAACATGGCCATGAGAGGAACTGACTTTCCCTCTCTCAATGTCGGATTCAATTCATGGTAGAGTTGTCTCTCACCTATGTTGTGTCATCTGTATGTTTTTGCATTATAGACACATGACTCTAGCATTAGGTTTTCTCAGGGTGTCCACCCATGTATGGGCACATAGACCTGATGACGACCTCTAAAGCAGATGGCAGAAGGATCCCTAGGAAGCATGTTGGGAAGCTCTGGAGGCCCTGTGGAACATGGTGACTTCTTCAGGTTCCTACACATGGTCAGGAGGAGAAGATGGGAAGAGACCAGGCCAGACACAAACATCATGGATCATTTCAGCCTTTTATTCAGGAATAAGACTACACCTATGGGAATGGACCCATTTTCCTGATGGAAAATGAGTCACTGGATAAAGCAGGGGGCTGGGCTTATGTAGATTGAGGGTGATTTAATGAACATGTCAGTCTGGGCACTCTAGAATTTGGATTTTGGAGTTGGGAGTCATGGCCAGCACCTGAAGAGGATTTATTTTAGAAGAGATAAGTGTTTCCTAGAGACTATCATTCTAGGTTTGATGAAACACTTTCTCCCTGCACGTGGCTAGCATCTGAAAAGGATTTATCTTGGAAGAGATGAAAGCTATCAATGCATGGCTTTCTTTTTCATTCCCTTTCCCAGGCCACACTGTCTTGGGGGTTTTTTATTTTCCATAAGACTCCAAAAGGAAGAAATGAATTGGGCCGGCGAAGTCTCTAGCTTCTTCATGCTGGGAATGGGCGACATAGGGAAGGGGGCCTTCCTTTTAGAGTCTTGGAAGTGAACATGGGAGTCCTGAAGGGATGTGTGTGTGTGTGTGTGTGTGTGTGTGTGTGTGTGTGTGTGTGTAGGGAAGTTCTGAAACCATTGCAAGAAATGTCAATTTTCTTTATGCTGCTCCAGAAGGTCAGGCAGTGAGCCGTGGGAGGAGGGATGTTCTGGGATGTTTCCTGGAATTTGCAGCTGAGCTGATCACTTTATTAAGAAACTGGAAAACTAAAAATAGGAGAAGAGATACATTATAATAATACATGAAGATTAATTGATTGACTAGGTTAGGGGAGATAATTTTAGCATATATGATGAAGACTAATTAGTTTACTAGTGTTAGGAGAATAATTTTATTCTGAAAGGAGAAGACTAATTTGTCAGTGCTAGGAAAACAGTTTGGGCATGTAATATAACTGAGGGTTTTATCATTTTTGATTAAGGCCCAATCATATTTGGGGTGTTCTCCCCAAGATTTCGGGGGTCCAGTTCCTCTGAAGCATAGCAAGCATGATTAATCTTGGAACCATGTTTTCCTGGTGGTATAATTGTTTCCATCCAGCTAGTGAATAGAGGTTTCTAATCCTGCGGCTCTGTGTTAATCCAGTGGATATTTCTAGCCTTCCAGTCTAGTGTGTGTGTTATTGGAATAGGTAGGCTTTGGTTGTGGTGTGAAATGTCAGTTTGAGGAGTAAGGAAAATTAAGGTACAGAAGTCAGTTTAATTTTGGTAGGCAGGGGCAAATGTGAGCCTCACAAAGGATAAACCTCAGGAGTTTGAGGACATTAGGGCTGTGGGACTGACATTAGTGTAAATCTTATGTTCTATTTAAAATAACAGTTGTTTTTCTTCTAAAATGCCCAGGTATGGCTGCATTTTGGTTATAACTGGTTTTTTCTAGGTGTTTAAGACCAACTTGGTCGAACTGACCTTGTTCCTATCTATTGTTAAGATTCAGCTGAGTTCCCACAGGGGTTTACTCTTGGAGAAGTTGGGAGCAGCTTCTTAGCTCTTTTAGTGCCATCTGTTAGGTATGGTCTCCTTAATGATGTGAGTTCCCTTGGAAACATCAGGGCTATCTCCCTTTTCTAATGACCCTCCTCTTTGCAGCAGGTGTACTGATTGGTTTTCCATTCTCCAGTGGTCTCATTAATCTCCCTGATCAAGAGGTCATGTGGTCCAGAGTTGTAAAGCTCCTGAGAGAAATTCTCTCATTCCCTGAGTTCAGGCTGACTCAGAGGGCAAAAGCCAAATATTGGTTTTCTTGGCCTGTTTGTTTTAGCCTCAACCTTTAAGTCTTCATCTTAAACATCCAGCAGGACAATCTAATTAGTCTTAAAGTAAGAGTACTGGGCTGTAACTTCAATGTCTATAACTGTACAGTCATTTACCCCTTATATTTAATTGGGGTCTGTATTAATACTGAAAATTAGCTTTATATCCTATCTGTCCTGTAGGTGATGGCTTATTGTGTGTTTCTGAAGAAGTACCTCCTAAATAAATAAATAAATAAACAGGCAACAGTTATAAGTTTACAAGGAAAATATAAAATGAAATTAACAAGAGTAAAAACATTTTTAGTTTGTGTAATAATTATCTTGAATTTTGTCTGCCTTACACATTATATCCCTGTTTGAAATCACAGTAATATATACAACAAACATTAACCTTCTGAACATAACTTTAAATGAGCTAAAGTCCAGCCTATTTTGGAGCCATTCTAACATGTAGTAATGTGGGAGGCAGAGCCTTATCTCAGGTAAGGTGGGGCTTTTGACCTTAGGTAAATTTTAGGTAAAGTGTCCAGTTCTGAAGTTTCATCCTTGTCTTTTTCTTAAATGTCATTTTACAAAGTTTGTATATATTGTTTCCTGAGTCCATATAAACATTAGTTAACACAATATAACCCTACATTTAAAACATGAATCAGAGAAAGGCTGAGAGTGCTTTTAACTTTCCTTTTGTATGAATAAGTGACAAAATGTTTTCATGTTTTACAATATTACCTTTAAACAAATCAGGATCTCCTTTTCATCTTTCAAAAATGCGTTTAAATTCCAATTCCAGTGTGAAGAGAAACACAAAATTGTATTTATAACTTAT